TCACGGAAACTGTACGAAAGGGCTTGGATCGGTTTGGTCTGAAGAGAATCAAGTAGAATTTGGAAACAGATGTTGAAGAGAATAGGGGAAAGTGGGCAACCTTGAAATACGCCGATGCTGTACCGGAAGGTCTGAGTGAGTGGTCTTTTAATGAATGCTGTCAGACGCTCATAGTAAGAGTAAACAAGGTTCCTGATTTTCAGCGGGATGTGGTAGCGTTGCAGTGCCCTCTGGATCAGATTGTGTTTTACTGAGCCAAAGACGTTCTTTAAATCGATCCATACCATGGCAATCGAACGCTTGTGGCGTTTGGCGTCTTTCAAGGCCTCGTGACAAAGAGTGGCGTGTTCAATACAACCGGACATACCCCGCAAGAAACCTTTCTGGGTCATGCCGTCAAAATACCCATTCGTCCGCATGTGGCGAGTCAGAATTTTTGACAACATGGCGAAGAAAATCTTGCCGTCACAGTTGGATAGGGCAATTGAGCGAAATTTCGCCGGGTCAGAGTCATTGTCACTTTTTGCGAGAAGCGTTACTGAGGCGCACTGCCAAGACAGCGGAATGGATCCTGTCTTCCAGACTTTCTCGAAGATATTGAAAAGAATGCCGTGCAGACATTTGCACTTTTTCCACACTATGTATGGAATACCGTTTGGACCGGCTGCAGATTTGTTTCTACATTTTTTCAGAGTGTTCTGGAAGGCTTTCCAACTGGGGCTGTTATCAGATAGTGGTGTGGACGGTTTACTCGTAGCTGGACAGAAATCTGGATCCGAGAAAATTTGCTCACGAGAGGGATCTTCATAAAGTTTGGAGAAATACTCAAAGCAGGCCTGTTCCGAGAAAGTTGGTGTTACACGTGATCTGCTTTGGGACATGCGTTTTGCAAACCCGTAAGGGTCCTTAAGAAAGGCCGTCCGCTGTTTCTGCGCTTCACGGTCTTGCTCTTGTATTTGGATGATCTTTCTCAGTTTCTTGATGTCTTTTTGCACACGGTAAGGGAAATGCTCCCCATCAAATGGTGGATAAAAACCGTTTCGACTGCTTTTTAGACAGTAACGGGTAAAGAAAAAAGGAAAAAGAAACTCATATAATTAGGGGTGAAAGTTGGCATTGAGATCCCGAGTTCGAGTAGTCTGATTTTCTCCGATCGAATATTCGAGTATTCGAGTATTCTTCATCTCCTGAAAATTGCACACCAAGGGCCTTAAAATCACATGATACAACCCTGATTGAACCGAGTAGCAGTCATTTTTCTGGGGTATATCGGTTCGTGGGTCATTTGGGCTCTCTCTGCTCGTTAACAAATGTTCACCGCACAGTCTGCACCTCAATATCTGCCGACTGCTGCTCTGAAACTGCAGATTTCTGTGATAAATGCATGCACTATGTATGAACGAGTACTCTGATTTATTCCGAGTACGATTATTTTTGAAAAAACCGAGCGAGTACTCGAGTACTCGGTATAATTGTTTCACCCCTACATATAATGCAATTCGAAGAGATAGGCCCCCAGTACAGTTGGGGTGTGGTTGTGTCCGTATGGTATGGTGTGTCATGTACAGGTAGTTGCGTTGTGATGTATGGTAATTTGTAGGGCGAATGTCGAGTAGGCTATGAAAACAACGATTCGACAAGAACAAGTGACTACGAGAGGTTGGCAAGGTTGGCGAAAAAAAGAAGAAGAAGAAGAAGAAGAAGAAGAAGAAGAAGAAGAAGAAGAAGAAGAAGAAGAAGAAGAAGAAGAAGAAGAAGAAGAAGAAGAAGAAGAAGAAGAAGAAGAAGAAGAAGAAGAAGAAGAAGAAGAAGAAGAAGGGAAATGCTCACCATCAAATGGTGGATAAAAACCGTTTCGACTGCTTTTTAGACAGTAACGGGTAAAGAAAAAAGGAAAAAGAAACTCATATAATGCAATTCGAAGAGATAGGCCCCCAGTACAGTTGGGGTGTGGTTGTGTCCGTATGGTATGGTGTGTCATGTACAGGTAGTTGCGTTGTGATGTATGGTAATTTGTAGGGCGAATGTCGAGTAGGCTATGAAAATAACGATTCGACAAGAACAAGTGACTACGAGAGGTTGGCAAGGTTGGCGATCGTCCACCCCCGGCCCTTTAGAGGCCGGAATGGCGAGTTCAAATCTTGATTTTAAGGACGTCCAACTATCCTCGCTGGGTGGCCGATCGCCCACCAAGTGCTCTACAACAGGTTCACCAAACAGTTTTAATACAACGGCCAGTCGCGCCATGTTCGCTCCCTTCGCCTTAGCCATAGGACATAGCTTGAGTTCAGCGCTGCTTGGCGACAATTCCTCCGCAAGATTTGTAGGGCGAATGTCGAGTAGGCTATGAAAACAACGATTCGACAAGAACAAGTGACTACGAGAGGTTGGCAAGGTTGGCGAAAAAAAGAAGAAGAAGAAGAAGAAGAAGAAGAAGAAGAAGAAGAAGAAGAAGAAGAAGAAGAAGAAGAAGAAGAAGAAGAAGAAGAAGAAGAAGAAGAAGAAGAAGAAGAAGAAGAAGAAGAAGAAGAAGAAGAAGAAGAAGAAGAAGAAAAATCGTGGTCACGGCGAGAAGAAAGCTTTTAGCAAAAAGACAAAGGAAAGGATGAAGGAGAAAATGGGGAGACACATCGTGGTCACGGCCAAAGCCGGAGTAGCGGCAGGACACAGTAGACAAAACAACACCAGGAACAAGCACGCATGAAGCATGGGCCATGCCGGCCCAGAAGCGGGAGACCCCGAAAGGAAGAGAGAAGAGAGAGAGAAATCGAAGCATTGCACATCTACATGTACGCCCACACATCCACACACCCACACATCCACACATCCACACACCCACACCTACACCCACAAACACACACACATACATGTACATGTACATACCCACACCTACGCACCAATACACACATACTCAGACACATACCCCCCCCCCACACACACGCACATGCGCGTGCACACACACACACACACACACACACACACACACACACACACACACACACACAAACACACACACACACATGTACATTGACAGCCACACATACAATTGCTTTGCAATGTTCTCAGTTCATAGAAGAAACGGGACTGCGGCAGCGCGGAACTGACGAGGAACAGAGATGGAGCGAATACTGCTTGGCAGGTTGTTCCAGCATAGCGCACCCTGGAAGGCGAATGTCCCCTTTCCAGAGTTGCTGCGGGCGGGTGGCAGGCAGAGACCCATGCTGGAGTCCAGGCGCGTGGACCGGCCACAAGCTGGCAGTAAGAGAACCTGAAGCTCAGGACTTGCTTGGCCGTAGCGACAGCGCCATGCAAGGAATGCCAGCTTCTGCTTGTACACTTCGGTTACCCGATACAGTGAGAGGCGCTCCAGTAGGTCATGTGCGGATGTCCACGGCGGGCGTCCGAACACTACACGGGCACCACGGTTTTGCAGAACATGTAGTCGATGACAGTGCCTGGCTGCCAGAGATGTCGAAAATGCATTTGATCCATATAGAAGATCGGGCATTATGATGGACTGGAAATAAGTTATCCGACCCTGTGTGCTGAGGCAACGCCGCATCCTCCACAGGACTCTGATCTTTCGTGATACACGGTTTGCACAGCGGGTTACGTGGTCATCCCAAGACATGTTGCTATCAAATGTTACGCCAAGGTAGCTGGCAGACTCGGGAGACTTTTTTTTTTTTTACTATCGGGTCAGCAATCCTTTCCGTCGTGAGTGAACAAAGACCACACTATTACAGTGATAGCAATAAAGAGAACAAATTCTGCAGTCATCGCCACACTACAACGAAGTCATGAAAGTTTACCAGAATTAATTTTCTTGTCACATTCATCAGTGGAAAGTCGTGACTGAAGAGTAACCATGCTGAACAATGATTAAATATACATTCAATGATGTGTTACGAGAACAAAATACAGTGCCAAAATAGAATGAGGGAAGGTCAGCAACAATAGAGGTGAAGTGAGAGCTAAGTGCAACGGCGGGTGAGAAATATTATAACGCTAAAACTGTGTAGTGAGACAAACAATCATGCTGTGCACCTACGAAAACATTGTTGTCTCCACGTCGATTATTTGCATATTACAGTGATCTGTATCTTTCTGTTGTGTGTGGGTGTATCTGCGGTGTACGCAGAGGCCAGCTAGCTGGCAAAAAGTGTTATTTTTCGTTGGCTGAGTGTAGCGAATGAAACGAAAAATGTATTTTTTTGCCAGCATTTTCACCATAGTTACGGCGCCAGGATTGCGTCATCTGGTTTTTTGTCTGTGTTCTCAAACTTTTCTCTTCATCGTGGCCTTTCTCTTTTCGTTGTAGTTTCCCACCCGCCCTCCCCTTTGTTCTCACTTCTGGATAGGTCCTGCAAGCTACGTTTTTTTCATTTATCTGATGGGGATATTCTAACCGGTTTTCCTCATGGCTGTGCCTCCGCCGGGGTCCTGGGTTTTTTTCGCCAGCTTCGGGCTGGTTAATTATCCGGCGGCCCCATTCACCACAGTGGTTCACTTTTTGCCTCCTGTTTGTCTGGTACATACGTGTACATGTATAATATGCGTGAGGTGGCATGCCCTTCTTCTTGCTCATGTATACACTACGCTAAGCTCTTCCATCTTTCACAGTGAGTGAACAAAGACCATACTACTACTGTGATCTGTATCTTTCTGTTGTGTGTGGGTGTTTCTGCGGTGTACGCAGAGGCCAGCTAGCTGGCAAAAAGGTTTTATGAAAGATCCCTGGGAATAATAACTCGGACCTTTTATCAAACGTTTTCAATTTTTGTCCAAAAGCAAAAAAAGAACGATAGGGGGCTAGAAAAGGCTCTTCTCCAGAGATTCACCAAAAACATTTTCAAATTTCATCTCTACCTTGCCGATTAAGTAAAAAATGCAGTCAAAATGCAGTCATATTACCCCTAAAAAAGTTGTACCGCCCAGCCACTTTTTAAAGTGTCAGATCTTAAAAGGTCTGCAATACTGTGTATACTCAACCCTCTTACCTCACCAGCTGTTCTTGAACCATCTACTGAATGCTCGGATGACATGAACGTAGAGTTTCCAAAATGGATGTGGAAATTATCGATACGGTATTGCTCCGAGCCTAGTGGGCCACCAGTGATGTTCACTTTTGTTAGGAGTGTAGGGTCCGCTCTCACAGTTGGCTCATTGGTGGAGAAATAAAAGCTTGCATTAGATGGTGTGCTCGTAACATTGAGTGCGGGGTAGGTCATATATACTGCGCTGGCTTTTGGGATGTTGATTGGTGACTGGTCTGTTCCATTGCCGCACGTCTCAAAGCCAGAAATGTTGCCCCAGCCAGCAGGACCTGCAGCACAGAGGTTACAGTTGTCACACCATTTCAAAGCTTAGGTCAGTGTGGTTGAACAACTTTAACCCTAGAACAGCCAGCGGTGTCATTTGACACCGAGCGGGTTTAACTTTTGGAATTACTGAAATATGGTTCATCAGAATCAGCTCAAATCTCGTGACTATTCCTAATTTTGTTCCTGTTTCGTCTGCCATATACCTTTTGTTGAGTTCGAAACAGGACGACTGACAACGGGAACAAGTTAGTGGGAACGACATTTATTATAGACGACGAGACAAGAGACCAAGACGAACGAAACGACTACATGGTGATTATTGACGAGTGAGAAAAGAGAGAGAGAGAGATCAAGTCTGAACGGCAAGATAAAGGGCCTGGGTAGCTATGGCAAATATGGGCGCGCAAGTAGCTACACAGGCCAACGGAGCAAAAGGAGACAAAAGGTGCGTACGCAAGTGCATGCAGGCCAGCTAGAAAAGGTACGGGAGGAGGTACCTAACATACCACCCCTCCATGAAAAAAAATCCCGCGTCCTCGCGGAGAGAAAAAAAAGAGAGAAAAAGATTTAAAAAAAAATGACTGATGGAGAAAACACACACACACACAACGCACGGGCCTCACAAAAGTGTGGACTAAAAAATGCACTACAGATCATTACAACCGTCAACGTTCCTGTACTACTCATACTATAGTGTGTACATTGCCAATAACAACGGGCCCAAACGCCCATTCAAAACATGGCCCAAAAAATAACTATTGGAGTTCGACGAGGGACTTGAATTGTATTCTGATGACTAGTATTTTGCACGGCTAATAGAGCCTAGTTACACTTTAATATACGACATAAATAAGAGAGCGTGGCTCACCATGATCGGACCCCTAATATTAATGAAGGACACCCGCGCACACACACACTACAAAAAAATTCACGAAAATAAATTTGACGAAGAAGGAACGCATACAAAAAAAAAAAAAAGAAAGAGAGAAAGGTAGCTGACCTGCATGGCTTGAACGAGAATAGACGAGGTAAGGTTGGCGTAGGAGAGACGAGGTTGATAGAGACGAGACGAGGTTGGCGTAGGAGAGACGAGACTGACATGGACGAGACGAGGTTGACATAGACGAGACGAATGGTGGTTGAGGACGGCTGGGCATGGGATGATCTCAGGGTCGTGGGTCGATCAATAATCGGGCGCCAATGTTGAGTTCGAAACAGGACGACTGACAACGGGAACAAGTTAGTGGGAACGACATTTATTATAGACGACGAGACAAGAGACCAAGACGAACGAAATGACTACATGGTGATTATTGACGAGTGAGAAAAGAGAGAGAGAGAGAGAGATCAAGTCTGAACGGCAAGATAAAGGGCCTGGATAGCTATGGCAAATATGGGCGCGCAAGTAGCTACCCAGGCCAACGGAGCAAAAGGAGACAAAAGGTGCGTACGCAAGTGCATGCAGGCCAGCAGAAGTCAGAGTTTTTCGAATTTGAGATGAGTTGAGTTTTTTGCAGCTCCGGGCTTTTGAGCGGATCTTCGATTGGTTTCAGTGCGGTGCGCGTCATATCGCCAAGCGCGCCATGCAGGGTGGCCACCAATGTTGTCGGTACAATGGCAAAGGCTCCTGTGTTGGCTGTGCTTGTGTCAAGAGTGGAAGGAACTGCCAAAACTGCGGCCCTGCTCAAAATGGAAGGTGCAAGAACCAACCACCCGCGGCGAGCCAACCATCTTCGCAGTGTACGGGTACGGGCGATACGGTAACGGCGGCTGGGCCTCGGGCCAGCGGCAGTGTTGTGAGTACGGTAGTGCAGGGTTTGCAGACCCCGAGGAAGGCAACAACCGCTGAGGAGATTGCCTCAGCTGCGCTCTCCGCGGCGCTGTCGACGACTCCTGTCTCGATATCGAGCTCCCAGCAATTTGCATGGGACACGCTGGAAGGTGACACAGCGAGCAATGCCAATGACTCTGACATCCCCGAGGACGTGGCCTCAGACAGTCAAGCAGCCCAGCTGCTCGCCACATTGGATGCCAGCCAGCGTGAGGATCAAATCGCTGCAGACGCACACGTTTCACTTCCTCCACATGTGGAATCAACAACAGGACCGTTCACACTTGGAACAATGGACAGTCAAGCCACACAAGCTGCCATTCATGCAGCATACGAGGAAGCAGTGCACTTCAGGCCAAACACCTTTGATGTTCCTCATGGAACTACGGGCAGAGCTTTTATCTCCACACTCAGCAGCTATCTGGAATGCTTTGGAGATACAGGTCCATATGAGGGTCAGGCAATCAAAATTGCTTTGGTATTCCAGCAACTGCTCCTACAACAACCCCATGCATCCTCGTCACAGTCATTCTCTAAGCGTCTCCAGGCGCGCCTTGACCTCTGGAATCGTGGTGAGCTTGACGAGCTGCTCAATGAATGCCGCACTATCCAGCACCTCCTGCAAGCACACGCGTCATCCCCGAAAAGCAGGGCCGATGAAGCCAGAGACTTTGCAAACCTCGTGACCAATGGGAAACTGAGGTCCGCCACCCACATGTTGGCAGATGGTGGTCGTGGAGGAGTGCTGGACTTGGATGACTCCATCAATGGAAGCACCGTTCGGGATCTCCTCAAGGCCAAGCACCCGGAGGCGCAGCCTCCTCATGCGGAAGCATTGCTTCAGGGTCAGGCACCCGTGCCTCCCCACCCTGTACGCTTTGAGTCACTCGATCGAGACGCACTACGCAAGGCCGCCCTGCACACCCAAGGAGCTGCCGGTCCCTCCGGGGTGGATGCTGCCTCTTGGCGGCACATGTGTACATCCTTTGCCGATACATCGGACCAACTCTGTGACGCTATGGCCAAGTGTGCTCGTCGTCTCGCTACTACGTACGTGGACCCGGCGTCACTAGATGCCTACACTGCATGCAGGCTGATTCCACTCGACAAATGCCCTGGAGTCAGGCCAATAGGCATCGGGGAAGTCTTGCGGCGCATAGTGGGGAAGGCCATCCTCGAGGTGATCCGCCCCGAAATCATGGAAGCTGCTGGCAGTCTCCAGCTTTGTGCGGGGCAAGATAGCGGCATAGAGGCGGCAATCCATGCGATGTGCGACGTATTTGATGACCCTTCCACTGAAGCCATTCTTCTGGCTGACGCCACACACCCGCGTTTAACTGCCTAAATCGCGAAGTGTGCCTCCGTAACATCCAGAAAAAAGCTAGAAACAGGAGGAGGTACCTAACACTTTGATTTATAATAGGGGTGAAAGTTGGCACTGAGAACCCGAGTTCGAGTACTCTGATTTTCTCCGATCGAATATTCGAGTACTCGAGTATTCTTGATATCCTAAAAATCGCACACCAACGGCCTTAAAAATCACATGATACAACCCTGATTGAACCAATTGGCAGTCCTTTTCTCGGGTGTATTGGTTGGGGGGCATTTGGGCTCTCTCTACTCGTTTACAAGGGTTCACCACACAGTCTGCACATCAATATCTGCTGACTGCTGCTCTGAAATGCAGACTTCTCTGGCAAATCCATGTACCATGTATGAGCGAGTACTCTGATTTATTCCGAGTACGATTATATTTGAAAAATCCAAACGAGTACTCGAATATTCGGTATAATTGTTTCACCCCTAATTTATAATCGATGAGGTACCATATTAGCGGCAAGCAGGTATGCCTAGAACGGCCAACCGGTGTCATTTGACACCTGCACTAAAAAAAAGCCATTATTGCAAGTAGATGGAAACGATTTGAAGAGATTTCGAAGGCGTCATTCATATTGAGTTGCTTGTGTGCCGACCAGGCAAAGGAAAGTTACATGGGCAGGAAAACTTCTGAATACAGGACGAAATAATTATACGATCAACATACAACCGTTGAGTGAGAATCGCAAATTTGGAACAGGTGAACATTAGTACACAGATTACACAAAACATGTGGCGAATGTCCTTGATATTGTTCATTCCCTTTCATTTTCCTGCAAATTGTCCCAGAGGAGCCATCGGAGTCTGACGGAGAACTACATGCAATCTGATGACCATGAAAGCAACATTTCCCACAACATCTTCATCTGATGCATCTTCAAGTGTAGTGACCATTGGCAGGGGTGGATCTGTTCTGTCATATGATGGTGTAACTTTCGGTCACAACAATGGCAACTGGGCACCTGCGAATTCGTAATGTATTGAAGTTTCCGAGCTTCCAGAAACGGACAAGTATTGCGGTTAAATCCAGATGAGGGATTGTCAGAAGCAGGTGCAGGCGTGGTGGAGATCCAGAAATCAATTGTGCCGAGGAAGAAGAATCACAACTCTGCAACCTGGAGATGGTTCACCGCATTATTGCAAGGATGGTGCTGTGTAGGTTATCTTTTACAACTACTGGACGCGCTAATGAGGCTCTTGAAACAAACCTCTTCGTCTCTTCCACTTCAGCCTTAACAGGCAGGCAGCCGCTGGGATGCTTTCTCCAGCTTTATTCGCTGCGAACGTGGAGCATAGGCCCCAACAGTGCAAGGAGCGTGAAGAGCGCAGTGCCAGACGGCAAGAGGGTGCGCTCAGCACAGAGTTTGATGAAAAGCTCAAGGCCCGTGAGATGAATGAGCGCATCACCAGGGTGTATGAGGATAATGGTGAAGCCGCCCGTGTGAGGTCGCTGGGAGGTACAGCGGAAGCTCCCAGTCACAGCGGTGGGCGTAGGCTTTAAATGAAAGTCTTTATATACGATGGAAGGCAGCCACTGGAGCGTTATCTCGACCTGTTCGAGGACATCTGTGTCAAGAATAAGTTCGACGAAAACGAATGGCTGCTGCGATTGCGTATCGCGCTATCGGGTAGCATTGTGAAAAGGAACTGTATTGGCTACAGTACCTATGAGGAAGCAAAGCGAGATTTGCTTGCCTCGCTCGGAAGGACGCCATACAAAGCACGGAAGACTTTGTTTACAGGCAAGCAGCGGTCAGTGAAGTCTTTGAAGCCAGTGAGAGGATCAGATCCAAG